GCCGGACCTTCGGCTCTTGGTGCCGGGAAGACCTCGGCCGCCGAGCCAGGGCGGCGGGCAGCCCGTCTGTCACCTAAGCCTCCGCCACAGCGCGGATCCCATCGCGGCCGCACCGTGCCCCTCCCGTCTGACATCCCCTGCTCCGTGTGTTAAGAGGCCCGTTTGAATGTGACGCGGTGGCGACTTCACAGGTCTGTGTGGGAAGAGAGAGATGCCACAGCCCTTAAAGATTGACAGAGAATCTAATACTTTCACTGTCCCCCAGGTAGTGGTTGATCTCAAGGACTAAGACAGTGCATTGTATCCTTTTCTCTGATGCAAGTGAATCAGTCGCGAGAAATACCGGGTTCATCTTCTGTCCCGTTACAGGGTCAAGATGGCGTTGGCGGCGACAAGGGTGAAGACGGAGACCCTGGTCAGCCGGTACGGAGCACGCACTCTTTCACTCTATCTTTACCTAGTCTCCAGGCATTTAAGAGAATCAGGAATAATCACTTTCCCGAAAGAATTACCTGTGAGATTTGAATTCCAGTTAAAGGTCAGACTTACACGGCGTATTTCTAACTCAATGCGATTTAAGAACTGTAAGCAAAGCCTTCATAATAAAAAAAAAAAAATGTAGTCGCATGATACTAATGCTTTTGTCTGATTGTATCAAATTCAGCTGTCTGTCCATTTGTGTTAATGAGAAATTGTTTTAAAATCACAAATAAGAGTAGAATGAAGAAAGCCAGATCCTCAGCCTGCCGCGAGCGCGGACGGCTCCAGCTGCCAGCCTAAATGACGCATATATATACATATTGTTCAGTCTGGCGATGGCACAGTAGTGGGCTCTGGCCACTGTGGTTGTTTGGGGGGGGGGGCCCTAACTTGAGTAGGAGCCAAAGCCAAACTGCTCCCTAACTTAGCTGTGTGTCTAGAGCCATCCCCACTGGACATTTGCCGTCAGAGATACAGGCTCATTCGGTGCAGACAGGACTGTGGGTCACAGCCCAGCATGTGCCTGCTCCTCGACGTGAACGTGCTAGTGCAGCACAGGAAGATTATTAACCGAATGATTCTATAGTTAGTATGTCTGCCGGGTTCCAGTCAGATAAAAATGAGTGCTTTTTAACAGAACACAGATTTTTTTATGACTTTCTCCCAGTGATGAGGAAGTTTGCAGTATGAATTTGCCAGCTCTAACCACACATACATAAAGGAAGGTTAGGTGTCTGAAATCAGGCTGAGCTTTTCCAGGAGAGAGAGATGTGGGGAAATGAAGAAAGACGGGTGGTTTCAGTCTTGATTTTGAAAACTGCTGTGGCCTGAAAAACAATCCCCAACGGCTTAAATGTATTTTTCCCATTTTACAGGGTCCTCCCGGCCCCTCTGGTGAGGCGGGTCCACCAGGTCCTCCTGGGAAAAGAGTAAGTTTTTAAAATTCTTCATTTGAAATACCCACGCATTACCCAACTATGTGTATCAATCCATATACTATATGTAAGTGGTAGGTGGTGCATTAGATTGATGCTGAAAAATCTAAGTCCTAGAGAACGGGGTGATGTCTTAAATTTGTCAGAATACTTATTAGAATGGATCACACTTGAGCCGACAGGTTGAATCGGTCACAGTGAGAAGCAGCTCCCCCGTCTCTGTGCCCGGGCCTGCCCGGTGCAGATGCTGTAGGCCGCTGTAAGAGACCCCGATGGGACCCTGAGCTTCAGCTCCTGGTGCATCCCAGGGACATGAAATGTCTCAGTTCAGGCTACTTACAAACACTGTGAAACCTGGATGCAGGATGGATGGAATGCGCCCAGGAGCCATCAGCATAAAATGTTAGATCGCTTGACACGGGCCAAGTTCTCTGATTTGGAAGCAATGGCAGGATCTTAACAAAAGACTATATAGCAAAATATGAATACACAGAACGTGTTCAAAATACTGGCTCCCGCAGACACTGGGAGATGGGCCTCTCGGTCTTTATCTTCCCATCGTACTGTTCTCATAACCTGTCCATACGCAGTGTCCCCCAGGACCTCCTCTCGTCTGCTTCCCCCCGTCCATGCCCAACGTACCTGTATCTACACACAGGATTTGAATAGAAAGGCCGTTTTCCTTCAGCCCACTAGAACACGAAATCATAAATAAGCTTCGTTCCTATTTTGTGGAAATCAACATTTCTCCTTCCCTTAGTCTCTTCACACTGCGGACCCCAAAAGGTAGACCAAGAATGATTTTGCTGTAACACCTCAGTGTCGAGGTAGCAGGGACAAGAAATGTGTTCACAAGCATTCTCACTTTTGTCCACGAGTGAATCTTACAAACAAGCCTTCCTAATAGAATATTGATCGGAATGTGGGGAGAGGCGGGGATACGGAGACTCAGCATCGTAGCAGTGATTGAACAAGTAGGGGAATCCCGTGGTCATCTGTAGCACATGGACACCCGTCAAGCACCGGTCACACTCGAGGAGAAAGGTGTGCTTCCTGCAGGCACTAGCAGACTGCAGACGCCGTCAATCAGCCGTGGAATGCTAATACTCAAGTCATTGCGGCTGTCTGAAAACCAAGTTAATGCATTTTATTGGGGGGGGGGAATTCTAGAGCTGACTAAAATAATTTAAACATGATTACCTGAAAAAGCACATATTAAATGAAATTTTAAAGAGTCCAGCTGATATTGCCAAAGGGAAGTTCACAATAAAAAATTAAAACAGTAACTGACGCTATTAATGAACAGAAGTAGAGGAAGCTTTATTCCCCTTTACATACCCATGTATACCATGTAGCGTGTGCATGTGTACACATATATTTCTGCATGGATGGGAATAGTTAGAGGTAAGGCGTGAGTGAAGGCAAATCTGACCCAGGCCAAGATTCAGATCAGAGAGTAGGGTCCTGGGAAAACTTTCCTGCTACCAAACTAGATCTATGTACCTATTTTGTACAACTTACTGCACCTCTGTATATTTTCACGATGCACTGGATTTGTTAATTTTGAGGTCTGTCCTCATAACTAAATTTACCAAACTCCTTAGGGTTTCATTTTATTATTTTATTTTTTGTACTCCCCACAACAGCACATTTCTAGCACATGAGGAAGCTGCGTTTCGCGTACTCACAGTTGTGTAACTAAGGACGTACCCAACCCTGCATATTCATTGAACCTCAGAGATAAATGAGTTCATGGGTCTCTGAATTTGATGACGTTTCATTTTATACGTCGATTTAAAAGCCCAGATGAAAGAGCAGCCTGTGCTTGCGGTTGGAATGTTACTATCGCATGAGAGACAGAGAGAGAGAGAGCCATCCCCGGCCTCCCCTCACCCTCACCCATCAGCACCCAGCACCATCCCCGCCGCTCTCCCAGCCCCCCACCTCCACCTCAGTCTGTGATCCTGAGCACAATTCATTGCCAACATTGAAGTAAACAAGTGGAAACGAGCATCTGGGGAAAGATGAATGCCGTTTTCTTGAGACCATTAAATTTCTCTTTTAAACTTTCCCGACTTGTCTCTGAACCAGTGCAGAAAATTCCAGCATCACACTGAATTTAATGCCTGTTAAGTGATAAAAAAATTCAATTAACTAGTGGAAATGCAGTAACTATTTTATAATAAAATTGCCAATTTTACAGGTCTTAGAATAGGTGTATTATGGATCCGGATGCGTAGCTCTTACTGTGGTGGATTGTCAAAGCCAGAGCCCTGTTGTGTTGAGTTGAAAGGTTTCTAGGAAATATCTTAAGTGAAGACATCAAGGATGTGGTGTAATTATTAGGAACAAAATTTAAATATCGTGGGGATGATACTATCTTATTTCTAGCTCAAAGCTTTCTCTTTGATACTTTAAATATTACGTTATGCAATATCAATGATTCTTTCCTACATCAGTTGGCGACAAGATTTAGAAATGTCAAGTTTTGTATGTCACAGGCGACTATGTAAATGCAGGAAGGAAACCTGAATATTTTATGTTTCCAGGGACCCCCGGGAGCTGCAGGTGCGGAGGGACGGCAGGGTGAAAAAGGTGCCAAGGTGAGGCGGTTTGACAGGTATTGTACACGCAGCGCATGCATACGCGGCGCAGCGTCCAGATGAGCACTGCTAACGAAGCAACAGGTGCCCTGCCGCGTTAGTCACGCGCGCGCCTATTGTGTTTTCTCACAGGGAGAAGCAGGTGCTGAAGGGCCTGCGGGGAAAACTGGCCCAGTTGGTCCTCAGGGACCTGCTGGGAAGCCGGGTCCAGAGGGTCTTCGGGGCATCCCCGGCCCTGTGGTGAGCATCTATGATGTTTTAGTTCTTTCTAAATGAAAATGTTCATGTCAGCACTATTTCATAAATTAGTGTGTGATGTTTAATGGGAATTCAGGAAATATTATGTAATAATGAAAATCTGAAATGTTTCCGTGTGTCATTTACTTAATCAGTTCATGGTGAAAGTCTAATTCACAAGGCAGAGTAGAAGAGTAAGCCCTAAGATCTCGAAGATGTAGTATTTTTATACCTAGTCCATGCAGCTGTGTGCATGTGTGCCTAGGATAGACAAATGCACACAAAGGGAGGAGACTCGAGATTGCTTACAATATTTGCAGGAGTGCTCCATCTGAGGAACTCCACAGGCGATGGTTGCTTTCTTTTTTTGTGTATTTCCAAAATGAAAGTAAAATAAATGTCTGTTTTGTTGATTAAAAAATTGAATCAATTATTTTTATAGGGAGAACAAGGTCTCCCCGGAGCTGCAGGCCAAGACGGGCCACCTGGTCCTCTGGTGAGTAGCGTCCTTCCTGCTTAGAAAGGGAAACGTCCAGAAACAAAGTTGTTTATAAGCCAGAATAACTGCAATTGCAGCTCGTAAACTGGTCTGTATTTTGTACAATACTCAAGGAAGTATATTAGACCAAAAAAGAGGAAAATCACTTTAATGGATAGGTTATTTGGAAAATATGCCCCTTGATCAGCAGATCTTTCCTTTGTTCTGTTCCTTGGATGAAAAAAAAAAAAAATTTCCACTCTGAATAAAATGCCATTAATGGCCCGGCCAGTTCTTTTCCAAATACAGACAGTTCCCCCAAATGCGTGCGATTGCCCTGACTTTCCTGGCACTTCATTTAAAAGACTAGCGTTGGCCCAGTCCAACGGGGATTCCTCCACCAGATAAACTGTTCCCTTGGTGACTCATGCAGGCTGAGAGATAAAACAGTCACCCGCACTGGAGAAGAAAGGTAAGATTGTCACAGCTCTGAGGCTCCGTTACTACCGCAGGCTCTGTATGCAAACGACAGGCTTGGCAAATGCAATAAAGCGCTTGGTGGGCCGCTCAGCGTCCGTAGGTGGCGTTAATTCCAGGGGCACAGTGTGGCTGGATGGAGCGCACTCCAGGCGCCAAGCTATCCTCACTACAAATCTGGGCAGAAAGCAGGAATGCAGGTCTCGCCTTGAAAATCACTGCTCGCTACAGGACAGGTTCTATTACGGTGGAGACATTTAAACTTCATTTTCCAGAAAGAGTTATGTGTAAAGGGATCGAATGATGCTAATTGGTTTAAATGGCCAAGCTCTTCCATAGAGTAACTTAAATTTTACAAACATGCTGCTGATCATGAACATGTTAATAATCTCAGAGACACACATACTCAGAAGCCATCAAAACTGGGTCTCACAGTCTTAATTATTCGGGAGGAATTCAGGTCATTCCTTTTAGTAAAAATGTCACAAAACTTTCCTCTAACATACCAGATATTTCATAAGTGTTGCAGTTGATTTTGTAACTTTCTCTGAAAAGTTAAAGATCAGTTATTTTAGTAACTGAGTAAAAGTTATCAAGTTTTGAGTGGCTTCCAGCAGGAGATTATCAAATCTGCACATGACCCCACTGGTCCAGCAAAAACTCCAGGTCTGCACTATGCAGGGAATATTCTACCTAAATACAGTGAGCTCCTGACTGCAGAGTCTGCGCCTGGAAAAGAAAGCGTTCCACCTTAATGTCACCCTAAAATTTGCCAGAGATTTGTTTCTTGTTATTTCAGATTTTCCAATAAGTATTCTGACCTTTTTCCAGATGAAATAAAAAACATCATGCTGGAGATTTCCTCCGGCTCGTATTAAAAACAAAACCATCAGACACACCACCTGCATCCGACTTACATTAGTTTATATTTCTGACTCTTAAGTAAATGTGAGTTTAGGGGGCAAGGCCAGGGCCTAACAGCTCAGACCCTTTCAGGCAGAGAGTGATGTGAAAAGAATCAGAATTGAGAGCGTGGTGCCAGTCCTTCCGCAGCTGCTTGTTTTAAGGACATAGCTTTTCATAGCGCTTGACTGTGATAGGTAACTTTTTAAAAAATATGTTTTTATTGATTTCAGAGAGGAAGGGAGAAGGAGACAGAGATATAAACATCCATGATAAGAGAGTCATTGATCGGCTGCCTCCTGCACGCCCCCTACTGGGGATCGAGCGGGCATGTGCCCTGACCAGGAATCAAACCTCGATCTCCTGGATCCTAGGCCGATGCTCAACCGCTGAGCCACACCAGCTGGGTTGGAGGCAGTTTTTGATCGGAGCAAAAAGGAGTGTATTGTGGTCACTGGTGAAGGTCACTGACTCTAGAGCCAAGCTCCCTGGTTTCACAAACCAGCACTACCACTGACTTGCTGGGTGACTTTAGGAAAGTTATTGTCTTTTAAGCTTTAGGTGCCTCATCTATTATGGATGTTATGAAGTTTAAATGAATTATTTTAGAGTTTTTGTATGTTTGTTTGTTTGACTATGTTTTTACTGATCTTAGAGAGAGAGGGGAAGAGAGAGGGAGAGGAAGAGAGAAACATCGATCGGCTGCCTCCTGCACGCCCCCAGGGATCGAGCCCACAACCGGGCATGTGTCCTGACTAGGAATCAAACCAGTGACGTCTTGGTTCACGGGTCTATGCTCAACCACCAAGCCGCACCAGCTGGGCTAATTATTTTAGTTTTTGAAGGCAGGATTAGCATCTCTGTTTTAGGTCCAAGCTTTTCATGTCTTCTTTCTTATATATTCTTTCATTTTATTTGTTCCAGTGTGGCTGAAAAACTGCTCAGTGTTTATCTTTGGACAAATTCACTTTCATATTATCCCATATTCCCTCTTTTCACACATTGATTAATAGAAGGTCTGATAGCATTACATTTCAAACCATCAGTGCCTGAATGAATGGTGGTGTGGGTGACTAAGCGGCAGCTTGAGTTTGTTCAGGCCTCACTGGAACGCTGCGAACAGGTGGAGATGGGTAGCACTCCACGGTGATTAAGCATGTTCAAACAACATGACGTTTGCTTTTTACCGAATTAAATATTATTTCGCAATACTGCATTCCAAATAAAGCCCAGGACCTGCAGTTTCTGAACCTGTTAAAGCGCCAGAGTTTTGAGATGTATATCAAAGCAAATATTCTGGAAAGCGCCGTGCTGCAGGGGAGCGTGCAAACGGTTGTGTACTCTCCACGCTTAAGAATGTACCAGCCGCGTCTTCCTTCTCACTTTATTACTTATGAATTATGTATTTCCCTGGGGTTTTCCAATTTACAATATCCTAAAGGGGAAACAGAAACTGCGTACACTTGGAATAACACTTTTATATGCAGAGTTAATATTTTGATATGCTCCAGGTTCAGAGGGGTATTATAACTACTATTCATACCAGATCTTCCCCGATTTCTATTTGCAACTGATGAAAACGATAAAAGACTGATTCTGCCTGGCAAATTCCTCCTTAGATATCGTCTGTAATTTCATAAGATATTATCAGCTCAGAGGGATTAATAATAATTTCCTGTAACTCCTTCATGAATAATGTTTACAGAAACGATTTAAATTGCATTAGAAATAGAAAAAAAAAGTCTAGCGTATTTCTCATTAAGCCTGAGCTATTAGAATTCCTAGGATTTCTTTTTTGCCATTTTTGAAAGCTTGTGCTGTTAGAATGTGATGAGGAAGCTGATTGACAACCGTCTGTAGCAGAGCAAAAACGAATAATAATTAGTATTTACATTATACTTCATAGCCTATGTGGGGCTTTTGTAGGACTTGTGTTTCCTTCATTATCACAATCCTTAGACCTGGTTATTATTATTAGAATACCTTTATAAATAAAGCTCAGAGGTAATAAGTAACAGATCCAAGATTACGCAAGTCATGAGTGATGGACACGAGGCTGAAGGAAGCAGTCAGAATACTGATGCCGGCAAGCGGCCTCCCTACCCGTTTTCCCACCTACAGCAGCATTTCTATAAAGTGCATGGCATTCCTGGGAGGGTTTGAAAGTGAAATGAGAAGCGAAGAAAGAAAAAACCGAGCCTCTTCAAACAGCTTTGCATTATCAATCTAAAGAATGAATTTACTTTTAACAGACATATGCCAGTTTTAGCGATATCCTTAAATGTTTCCTGCGACTGGTCCACATGTTTGGTTCTTTCATGCAGCTATGTGGTTAGAGCTCCTTTTTCAAGCTTTCTTTTTGCCACTGCGTTCTAACATATAAAGTCTTCGGCATCTGTCCTGGTGGTGACGTGAGCTCCAGAAATTATCTGTTTCCATTACTTGTTTATACTATTTTTTATTTTTTATTTTTTTTTAAATATACATCTTTATTGATTTCAGAGAGAGGAAAGGAAAGGAAAGGGAGAGAGAGATAGAAACATCAATGATGAGAGTCATGGATCAGCTGCCTCCCGCACGCCCCCCACTGGGGATCGAGCCCGCAGCCCGGGCCTGTGCCCTGACCGGGAATCGAACCGGGAGCCTGGATCCTAGGCCGACGCTCAACCGCTGAGCCAGGCCCGGCCGAGCAGTATACTATTTCTTTGAAAATGTGCTATTGGGCAACATTATTTTCCAAACTAATGATTCCCTGGGCATGTCTGATGAGATCAGAGCAAGTGGATGAAAAACACATTCACCTAATTTTAAAATGATGAACCGAGTGCGGCTAAAGAGGTAATGTTTTTATTTTTTCGTAAATGAGCTCCTTTATGCTGCCGTGATTTGCATGTTGATGTAACTGGATTGGGGACCTAATGCCCCGGAGCCATGTTGCTCAGACCTTAATGAACATCAACCCTAAGAACCAGCTCGCTGGTCTCTAACGCCCGAATTTCAGGGCCTGGAGGCGGCCTAGCAATTCGCTTTCCTAATGAATTCACAGACAATGCTAATGCCGCTGGTCTGAGGACTGCACTTGAGATCAGCGATGACAGGGTGTCAATAAACTGGAGCAGCGACCCTCAACCTCTTTCATTGCATGGCACACAAACTAATTACTAAAGCTCTGCAGCATACCAAAAATATAATATTTTTTGCTGATCTTGCAGAAAAGAAAAGGTATAATTTTGATTCACTCACACTGATGGCTATTGCGTTGGCTGTTGTCATTTTTTTATGACAGTCAAAGGGCAAAGGGCCTTATTTTGCACTGCCGTCATTTGTGGAGTACATAGATTTTTACATTAAGATGTTTGTTAGAAAGTCCTCAGTATAAATATTTCCATGGGGAGGGTAAGGACAGAGTTGGTCACTTAAAGTCATGCCACAGTTTTCAGAGAGACGTAATTTAGCCTGAATGGTTGAACACCATACCCCTGAACTATAAAAAAAGGTTAAACTATTAAAATATAGAGATGATTATATGAAAAAAGTTACATTACCTTATTATTACTGGTACAAATCATTTAGATCAGAGAATCGATTCAGGAATTATAGCTAAAAATACTATCTTCGAAGTTTACTTAGGAGAAGTGTATTAACAGTGTATTGAGGTTTTTTAAAAAATTTTACTGGAAATATTGTAATCTTTGAATTTGAGTGTAGCACCAGAATGTTTGATTGAATAGATCTATTATTTGGAAGCCCCTTCTTTTAAAATTAGTGTAATTGAAAGTGTATTCTCACATTTCTGACTCCATATTTATTTAATCAAAATTATTATTATTATTGTGGTTAAATATTAAACCATAGAGTTTTAAATGTACAAAATTGTTTAGAGTTCTGAAAAATAAATACTGGTCACTGTTATTTTTTAAACTTTATCAAAATTAAGTGATCGAAGTTACCAAAACCAAACTTGCTCTGTGGGTACTAAGATGATTCTCTGATTCATACCGACTCTATACATGTTTATTATTTCTCATTATTTAGGGACCTCCTGGATTACCTGGTCTCAAGGGTGACCCCGGCTCCAAGGGTGAGAAGGTGAGAATAAAAGTTTGTGTCATTACAATTTTGAGATCTTAATAGCAGAGGCAATAACTTTGTAGATTAAAATCACTCAAAAGGAAATTTCAAAGAATATCTTCATTGTTCTAACCAAGGAAAGAGCTGTCAGTCCTTAGCTCTCCAGGATACATTTAGAGACGAAAAAATATACCAAGTTACATTACCTTATTATTACTTGTACAAATAATTTAGATAAGAGAATCAATTCAGGAATTATAGCTAAAATTCAAAGTGAAAAATGCATGAGAATTCAGTGTTATGTTTCCTCAATGTCCCCTGAAGGAACCATATGGAAACAGCATATGGTTATACTAAAATAAGTTCAGAAAATAAACATCAGGAATAACAAAATGCCCATTTTTATGCTTTTAAACATGGAAATAAAAATTTGAACAGAATATCTTTCAAACAGTAATTTGAGCTCCCTAAATGTATACTGAGTTGCACTAAGTAATTAAAGAAAATAAGCCTCTTTCAGAATGGCATTAATATTTTTGGATTGTTTTTAAGTTTCCGAATATCTTTTAAAGACTGCACCATCTCTGAAGGATAGAAATCATTTCGCATAAAATAAGATGCTTATTAAAACAATGAATTTTCAGTTGTTTACTTCACCAGTATCACAGATGGTCCCTACTGGGCTTTCAGCTGAGGGAAGGGATTCCCTTTAAGTAAATGAAACACTGAAGCTGGTGTTTTTAGGAAGCTGTAAGGATCCTCTCAGGGATGAGCAAAGGCTCTCAATCCTGGGTCCTTTTCAGAAAGTTCAGGTTTCTTATCTAAATGTTCTACTTGTATGTTCCATAAATTTAATGTGCAATTATTTTATGACTATAATTTATGATATGGTTGTAGTTTGTATATTGTTAAACGTCTTTTCTATGCCTTCCCCAGGGGCACCCTGGTTTGATTGGCCTGATTGGGCCTCCAGGAGAGCAAGGTGAAAAGGGGGATAGAGGCCTCCCTGGGACCCAAGGATCTCCAGGAGCAAAGGGCGATGGGGTGAGTTAAGACAAAAATTCGTTTCCCATCCTTCCCAAGTACACGCACACACACCTGCACACACACACCTGCGCACACACACCTGCACACACACACACCTGCACACACACACCTGCACGCACACACACAGGCTCAGTCCTTCAAACTTGACCAAGGGAGTGATTTAGAGCGTCTTTGTTCTAATCTCCTTGAGTCAGTAAATTTCAAAGAGAAATTTATTTCACCTTAAAATAAATAAATTAAAACTAAGACAAGTTAGAATCACAAAAATTACAGTTCAGTAGTTAATTGCACTCACATGTATTGATCTCCAGCACATACAAATCATTATTCTGAAGGCTGCAGGAACATAAATATATATGGAGACATGGAAGCAAAATAGGAAAAAAACAGATTATCTTGCAAAGTTCTTCCTTAGATTTACAGTGGAAAATGTAAGCTATTCTCACGTGTTCTTGCATTCTCTAAATTTTGCACACTGTGAAAATGGAAACACGGAGAAGAACTCTCTAACTTGGATGGTTCTCTCTACAGGGAATTCCAGGTCCTGCTGGTCCCATAGGTCCACCTGGTCCTCCAGGGTTACCAGTAAGTACCAGGAAATAAGAATTTGATAAAGTAAACTTACAGATATACCAAAGGGACACAACCCTCCTTGTTTTTATGTCATTTGCTTTTTCATTTTCTAGGGCCCTCAAGGTCCGAAGGGTAACAAAGGCTCCACCGTAAGTACCTGGGCCTGTGGAGCTTCACTTTCCCCTGCAGCCCACTCCAGCGCCTGCCCTCTGTTTATCCTGTTCCTTTTCCTCCCCGACAGGGACCTGCTGGCCAGAAGGGGGACAGCGGTCTTCCAGGGCCTCCGGGGCCTCCGGTAAGTGCACGGGGACAAGAGTGGTATCGGGCAGTTAGGGTCCTGAGCCCGCGATGATGCCTCTGCGTTTATGAGGAGGAGACGGCACGTCCTGTCCGAGTGTGGCTTCTAGGGGACGGCAGCCACCTTCGTGACGTGCTCAGTCTACACCCAGCGCCTGTCCTCTCCCTGGTTTCACTCTTTGAATATAGACACCTTCCTTATATCCATCCATATTCTAAGAGTCATTTGAGAAAATCATATATTTTTATGTCAGATTTTCATGAAAGCAACTGATGACCTGCCACAAAGATACATTTATATCTGACACTCAAGGAAAACAGCTCAGAGAGTTGGCATTTTTTCCCTCCTGCATATCACGGCGGTAATAAATGCAACATTAATGACCACCTCGTACGAACGCTGACGTTTTCCTGGTGTCTCGACTATTACGTGATCGATCCACGGGGGGATATTTTAGGCTCCTGTCTTGAGTTTGCTTCTGAATTATATGGGTCTTAGTGCTGGGGCTGCAACCACAAATTAGGTGGTTTCAACAACAGGAGCTCACCACCCAGCAGTTCCAGAGGCCCAGGTCCAAGAGCAGAGCGTCAGCAGCACTGGTGCTTCCCCAGGGCTCTGGGGAAGGTCTGGTGGAGATCACTCGCCTTGGCGTGTGGACGGCTGTCTTCTTATGTCTCTCTACCTTGTCTCTGTCTATGGGTGTCTCTGTGCCCCAGTCTCCCCTTTTCATAAGGATGCGAGTCATAGTGGAATAGGACCCACACTCCTAATCTTTCATAGTTACTTAACTAATTATATCCACAGCAACCCCATTTCCAAATAAGTCTTACTCGGAGGTACTGGAGTTCCAGATTCCTACACGATTTTTTGTGGGACACAGTTCAACCCAGAATGATATGGATTAATTATTTAGTGCAGTTCTACTCTTACATGTATGTAAATTCAAGTCTGCTTGTATTTATTTTAAGTTTGTTCATTTGTGAAGATTTAAGTTATAAATATTTGAAATAAGCTAATGTGTATTTGTAAAATATTAAAGTATCATAATATAAATTATTATCAAGCACAATAGACAACTCACTAGATAGCACAAGAACCTTTAAGTGGTGTTTTCATCCTCAGAGACTAAAATCTAATGGCATGTAAATGAGGACTGATTAATAAACAAGAAAATAGGGCATCCAATGAATGTCCACACAAATGCTTAGACATCACCGGTAATAACTAACATCTGCAGAACATTGAACCTTAGGAAACAATGACATGTACGTCATCTCTCTCACAGGGTCCACCTGGCGAAGTCATTCAGCCTCTACCCATCCTGTCACCCAAAAAAACAAGACGACACACGGAGGGCATGCAAGCCGACGCGGGGGATACTATTCCTGATTACTCGGACGGCATGGAGGAAATATTTGGTTCCCTCAATTCCCTGAAACAGGACATCGAGCACATGAAGTTTCCAATGGGGACTCAGACTAACCCAGCCCGGACGTGCAAAGACCTACAGCTCAGCCACCCTGACTTCCCAGATGGTACGTTAATAATACATGACAAAGCCAATGTACCAAGCCTCTCAGCTACCGAGGTGCGTTGTCAGCTCATTAATTCTCGTTAAGTGTTTAATACAGTCTCCAAATAAAACAAAAGCCAACGATTTATTAACTCCAATCTTGTAGACAGAAGAAGTCATTTACGCTGCGTAATGCAAGATCTGCTTTGGAAAATCCATGTCTGTTAAATAAGGGTTCATTAAATCATGATAAGATCATTTTGAGATGATTATAGGTAACACAGATGTACTTTGCTTTGTAATAATAATTGTAGAATGAGTTTTATGTGTGCACACATATGTGCATATTACTATATCATTATTTATATACTCTACACTAACTTGCTCTACATTAATATGAGTAAAATTAACATGATTAAATAGCGTCACTGAATATTTGATCCAACGAACAGAGTATTTAAGAATTAAAATAGCTTGGAGCAAAAATGTATTTCATTGATCCACAAATAACCAAAGCAACTGTGAACAATTTATTTGTAATAATAATAATGATAATTTATTTAAAAACCTTAACATACCCATTCTGAGAAGGCAATGGTTTCAAGTACCCTACGTTAGTTGACAAAAGTCACACCATTACCCAACTAGCGAGCGGCAGGCAGCTCTCCATCTGAGTTTAAACCTCCCACTTTATGTGCGAGCACTTGGCCACTCTTTCTACTCTTGAGACAATATTATTTAGCCCTGTCAGTCACCTGATTAAAGTTGTAACAGACCTAAATAACTCAGTTCAGTTGGAAAAGTCTAATGCGATTCCGAAGCAGCCAGCACCACAAAGGGAGAGCATCGTAAACGCCCCCGACTAAAGCAAGCACAGCCTGCTAGAATGAAGACACAGGTAGCTTATTCGTGGCTCTATCCAAACTGATACCCAAGGTCTTCAGACATATAATATGTTTATTTGAAAAAGGTATGTTTAGTTCAATATTTCAGTGATTTATAAAGAGAGTGACCCAGACTTCTGATCTAGCTGATGAAGGGAATCACATATCATTGAAAGTCAAACATAGTGTGTCCTGAGGTATAAAACAGCACATGACTAGTTAGTTACAACCTGAGCCGTCAAGACAACATTTCGTAAACTTTGGGAGTGGAAAGTTCACTGCAGATCATAGTTCCCTGTGGTCCCAGTATAATAATGACTTTATTAATTCTTCAGTGTGGTAATTATTATATTTATTTATTAGTTATTTAGTGGTACCAGGCACTGCTTTCATGGAGAGATGCACAAACAGAAGGGACAATGCCCTTGGGCTGTATTATCTAATGATGGAGTAAAGCCCTAAGTATTAATAACAGCAGGTTAGGACATACTGTGAAAACACTGGGTATTTAGTAAACTAAGGGATGATCCCATTTTCTAATTTAAAAAAGTAAATATTTAAGGAGGTGACATTGAAGCTGAACCTAAATGCAACAGGTGTGCTAGGAATAAAAAAGGGTGTCCCTGCAGAGGGTCTGGGGCACATGCACAGCTTTGAGGCAGACAGAACAAATGTCATTCTTTAACTGTTTAAACATGGACCCCAAGGTGACTAGAAGCATAAAGGAAGATTCCTGTGGGAAAAGATCGATGAATGTTTCTTTTACCGTATTTCTCTCTCTCATAAAATTGGACATATAATGCATTTGATTCTAGACCTATGTTGACTTGCCCATGACATATTTTTCCCTCTTGCTAGGTGAATACTGGATTGATCCCAACCAGGGATGCTCAGGAGATTCCTTCAAGGTTTACTGTAACTTCACATCTGGCGGGGAGACGTGCATTTATCCAGACAAGAAATCGGAGGGAGTAAGTGCCAGGCTGTGTTGGTGGTGACTGCTGACCGTCCCTGCCATGTTTTTGCAATATTGAACTAAACAGAAAAATTACCTTGTCGTATTTTCATTTTTCTGCTTTTCTTACAGGGTAATTAGAGCTTCCTATTTGCATAAACATGAATAAGGCACCCAGAGGATGCATGGAGTTGACAAATACTTCTCTCCTGTATTTTTTTACCCACATGCATTCTTGTTGCACCTGTTTGCTCTCTAAAATCTATGGCTTTCCATGACACAGCACAGCTGACGCTCAGACTTCAGTGCCTGCATAGTGTTCTCAGTCCACTTGCCACATGGTAGACCTCCCAGCTGTGTATCATGCTGAAAATACACGATTTTTTTTATATAAAAGAGGAGTATTTTCTGCACATGCATACTTTTAAATGTTTGTCTCTTCAAACCCATTTCTTGAATTTTCACCTGGCAGTGTCAATATATTTGATTTTGATCTTTTAGAACTGAAGGATAATTAGCAATATAAGGAAAGATTTTTTTCACTGGCATAGTTATAGTCTCCAAACGTGGTGCAGGTGGGAAATGTTACCTTTATTTATGTTTTTGGAATAAATAAAATTTTTCTTAGTAAATGATGTGGGTTTACAGAGGCACAGAAACTCCTTAAGTCAAAACAAGTGGCTTTATGTGATCTCCTTGGGAGAGAAGTAAAGGGTGGAGAGTCAGGGCAGGAGACAAAGCAACTTCTGTTTCCCACCTGAACTTGAACTCGGCAGGTGGCAAAGCCTCATAAATCTCCTCTATCCCCTAAAGACCTTTGGGGAAATGGAAAATGCCTCCCCTTATGCTGATCACTCAAATTCCCTACAGTGAGGCCTTAGGACCATCATATACTGCTGATCTTTGCAAAGAGAAACTATAAAGGCGGATCTATAAACAATTCTAACCCTCCTTCCCAGCAGGGAATGAATGCCTAGGCTTGCTTCCCGCCAATGGTTTTCCGTAGCATCCGGCCCTCAGCTGCTGGCTGGATGCTTCCAGGAGGCCCGCCTTGGCTATGAAATGCTGACGGTACCTGCCAGGGGGCTGATGCCAACCGCACTGTGAGGGTTTCCTCTGCAAGGGGTTACCTGCGAGTTCCAGCAGTGTCCCCTAAGTCCTCAGCGATGCCGTTACCAGATTATTCCCCCTTCTTTTTTCCCCGAGCAATTAAAGGCAACAGGAAGACACTGGGAATTCACAGGATCCATGTCAAATGTTGCACTTTGTGTCATTTTGTATAATCCAGAGAAGACCATTTGTAAAGTCCCCGAGCCTCTCAGTCTTACTAAAAATGTGCACAAATATTACTGTTCATAATTTTTACCTACTGTCTGATTCTCCTGCTCTTTTGCAACAGGTAAGAATTTCATCATGGCCAAAGGAAAAGCCAGGAAGCTGGTTTAGTGAATTTAAGAGAGGAAAACTGGTATGTTATTACCGCAACATGAAATAGTATATCTTGAACTTTGTGACTGAAGCTCAAATGATACATCTCTTGACACTGACTGTGATTAACTTACTCTAAGCAGGACCTCATGTGTTCTTTAGTTTTAGCCGTCTATATCGCTTTGACGACTGTGGTATAGACTTTAGAGAAGTCTAAAAATTTTCTATCGTAATAAATGGAAATATACTAAATTTACTAATATCAATAAAATATACATTTGATTAAGTACCTGAGATAGACATCATAAAAATGGATTATGTAAGAAATACCAGATATAGAGAATATATCTATTTAGTATCTTTGACTCTTAACAATTTCATTTTCTCTCTGCTTGAAACCTAATTTATTCTTTGTTCTTCATTCCGAATAAGATTTCATTTCAATATAATCTGGGTGAATTTCTTAATTTTTTAAAAGAATAGAAGTTTATATGTCTCAGCTGAGCCCAGATATTTTGATAATACCCCATAAAACAATTTTTAAAGTTGGTAAAAGAGACAGTTTCTAATACTTTGCAATTAAGACTATTTTCCTGTTCTAAATGCAAAGTAAAAAGTTACTGATTCAGCACATATTCACTTGCATCTTCTCGGGCATTGTGCCTGCTGCTGGTAATACATTGATGAGTAAGTACATCAGCTAAGGATGGAAGAGCGGGCAGGTCTGTGCTGAAAATTAGACGGGAAATGCCTTAGAGGACGGGCCCCAAGTGAGAAAAGCAGGGACGTGTTTAAAAATTTGGTTCCAGTAGATACACCATGAAATTTTTAAAGGAGCGGGCGAAATCAAGCAACATAAAAATAGTTAACTTCTATGTTGCACTGAGATTCCCCAGTTTTCATTGTTTTACCATTTTACCTATTTAAAAAGATACAGAAATGCAAGGAAAGGTTTTTGGGAGACAAAAGCAATTTGTTTTTCAATTTTTACTGATGAAGAAACTGAAGCATTGAAATAAAGTGAGTTTTCAAAGATAAGTAGTGCTTACAGTAACCCAGGTGGGAACACAATCCCTACTGCATGAAATCCTGTCTCTGAGTCTTCTGACCCTCAATTCACATTTTTTCTGAGCCTTTATAAAATATATCATTGTTTATTTTATTTTATTTTTTCCATCACCACTTAGCCCCTCAATGCCCTCTTCCACCTCCACCCGCTGCCCCCCCAATCACCACACTGTTGTCCATGTCCATGAGTTCTCTCTCTTTTGTTTCTGTTTTGCTCAATCCACACTTTCTTCCATTACATAAAAATGGGCCCGAGGAGCCACCCACATGCTTCTCGAATCACACAGTTCACTGTCAAGAGGGTTGCTATTCTTTTAGGACCTAAGAGAGGAGAAGAGTCTTGACCGATACGTCTTTTGATATTTTTATTCCCAGCTCTCCTATCTCGACGTCGAAGGCAATTCCATTAACATGGTGCAGATGACCTTCCTGAAGCTGCTGACGGCATCGGCTCGGCAGAATTTCACCTACCACTGCCATCAGTCCGCAGCCTGGTACGACGCGGCCTCGGGGAGTTACGGCAAAGCCCTTCGGTTCCTGGGGTCGAACGACGAGGAGATGTCCCACGACAACAGCCCGTACATCAAAGCGCTGCATGACGGCTGTGCGGTGAGTACGAGGGGAGGCAGGCGGAGCCTTCGGTGTGGCCCCGAGTCAGGCGTCTCATATGAGAACTGTGAAGTCTTCATGCTTAACACTGACGTGGTGAAATACAGAATATTAGAAACCACTGACAGTCTCTCTCTCTCTCTCTCACACACACACACACACACAGGAACTCTGAGACACACAGATAGACACAACTTTAAAGCCTTAACAGAAGGTAATCTTGGGTCCTGTTGTTATTTTTATGGAATTATTCTTAATATTTGAATACTGTTGAGGTTAGTTATTCTTGAAATGAAAAAAAAAATTCTAAAGTCTTATTTCTTTTGCCTCTTTATTAATCCATGGTTTTAAAATGACAGATGAAGGAATCACCGTTATACCATTTAGACCATAGGCACTTCTTGCCCGTGTTTTGTTTATAAGGGGCTTGTGGATTGGTACTTCCGCCCAGCAGTTTAGACTAGCTATCATTTACCTTGTTTTACCCTCTGGAACTATCTGTTTCACACATGTGGGAATTCCATGTAAGAAAATGGCCCACAGAGTACCCCAAAAAGCCCATTGTTTTAGCTGATGACTGAAGAGAAGTCACAGTTACAAGTAAACAGGGCCATGCCTTCAACAAAGTGAACAGGTACACATGGATCAGATAAGAGAAAGGGAAGCAGATGAAAGGAGTAAGTAAGTGTTTGGGGTTTTTCCAGGAGTAACCTATTGGTCATTAGTCACAAAATTCATATATACCAGCAGAAATGCTCTGACTTTTGACCTCTTGCATTATAATTCCTATGTTCAAATTTTTCTTACAAAAATTTGACTAACCTATCTTAATTATGATTATAATCATAAAGATATATTATTTACATAGGGGTATAACCCAATACCAACATCAGTTTTCCTATTAAACTGTATTTATCAATTCAGTAAGAATCTCTCCAGCTGAGTAATAATATATTAGAGTATTAAGGTTGAGTGATTATAGCTAAATATGAAATGTAGTTGTCAGCATTCAGAATGTAAGGCCGCATCTGAGATTAGTGACAACAAGAGCTCACTGTTACACCGAAGATGGCAAATTAGTTCTTCCACTCTCCTCTCCCTTGTCTTCCTACCTCTATCCAGAGACTTCAGAAAAAAATAATATGCATGTTAAAACTGTAATGTGATTGTATAACTTTTTCAATTTCTGCTTAACTTTACAGTCCAGAAAAGGCTATGAAAAGACTGTGATTGAAATCAATACACCGAAAATTGACCAAGTCCCTATCGTTGATGTAATGATTAATGACTTTGGTGATCAGAATCAGAAGTTTGGATTTGAAGTTGGTCCCGTTTGTTTTCTGGGCTAAGATTAGGAAGAATGACAGATGAAATCAACAGAAAGTATACCTTGGTGCCACCCACCCATTTGATGCCACATGCGAGTTTTGAGTAAGGATGGCATAGAAAACACCTCGTTACCTATGTCTGTACCAGTTAGGAAGTACTGATGCCCTCGGGGGGGCAGAATCACATGACGGAAGCTTTGAAAATCATTTAAAAAATAAGATAGTGTGGCTGAGATGGAAACAAGCCTTATTTCGATTCCCAGTTTTCACTTCTCCTTTCCCTATCTGGATTTCTTTGGTGCTGTAGAAAAAAAAAAGAGAGAGAAATATATATTCATAAAAGATATGGTGCTCATTTCCATCCATGAAGGATGTGCTAAAACAGTGTGTTTAATAAATTGTAATTATTTTATGTACAGTCCTATACTGTTATCTGTGTCCATTTCCAAAACTTGCACGTGTCTTCAAATTCCGTCTGACTCGAATTTTACGACAATCGCAGAACTATGATGGCAATAAATATATGTATTATGAAAAAAATAAAGTTGCAATTTCTGACGGCTCTAACTCCATTTCTTTGATTGATAATAAAATGCCTTTGTATATATCGACGTTGAAGGGTTCAGTTATTCGATGCCGCCCACAAATTTCTCAGAGGTGCAGAAACCTGGAAGACTTTTCGGAAGCACACTCCGATCGACTCCTCTCCACTGACAGTAACTTTGATGAATTTCGGCCAAATATGTGCATTTTGATACCTTTTGAGTGCTATACCTCAACTTTTCTCTTTCCAGAGTCCAGGATGTCACAGGTTACTTGTATATATGGAAAATGAGCACGTTTATATTTTTTGGACAGGAAAATATGTACGAGAAGCTGTTTTAAAAACACAGATGCCTCCACCAATCAGATGTACAATTTTGTTACTACCTTATCGCACCTCTTGTTTGCAGTGTGCTTCGATCATGCAGGTTTAATATTAAAAGTGGGAAGCTAAGCAATTATTTATGAATATGTTTGATGTTATACTTTTTAAACAACCAACTTCTTGAATTGGATTCTGAGTTGCATATTTTAATAGTCTCCAAAAATTATTTTACCTGCACCTACCTGCCCAACAAATATTTCTTTCCTTTCAAGATAATAGCATTCATTATTGGACCTAGCTAATCCGTAAATAACATATGATGGACTGTTACTGATGGTGCTTGTTTTAAAAGTCATACTTATTAAAATCAGTCAAAACATTTTTCCCCCCACTAAGGCATTTTCTTTCAGGCAGCTTGAAATAGCAGTAAAATTTAAAAATTACAAATTGAACTCTGTATCTATTTTAAGTAATATATGTAAGACTTGAAAATAAATGTTTTATTATTTCTTATATGAAGTGTTAAATTAATTGATGCCAGATTTCACTGGACCATTTTCAACTGATAATTTATCACGAAAGAGCCTGCCTGTATTGTTGACTTTAAAACGTGGACGTGTGTCATTCAGAAGTTCTTATATTTTTTGAAATTAAGTTTGTAAATGTCCTTTCAAGAAGGGAGATATGAATCGTATAAATAAACTCAACTCTTGTCTACCTGGGTTGGTCATTCTCTTTCTTAACTAGGTTTCAAATTACTCTCAATTGCAGAAAAGGCTTTCGATTCTGTGTGTTGACCATCCAGGTTAGAATTGTTTTACATTTTTGAGAAATAGTATCCTTCAGAGATAAGTCGCTTAAATTCTCCAGGTGTTTAGAACAAAACACTACATGGTAATACTCTATTTGCAAAATGAAATTAGGTTACATTTACAGTTTCAAACAGATACTTCTCATAATTAAACATTTTGCAAAGTCTCAAACATAGGTACACAATTTTAGCACTAGAATTATTTCCAGAACTTTAACTTGAAACAGTCTCTAAATCATATATCAAATAATATTGTTAATTGAAGAGGGAATTCATACATCAGACAACTTACTGATCTACTTTGGGAGAGCTGTACTACTTGTCCATTTAAACAAATAGCCTCAAATTTGGCACTCAATAGATTTAAAGAATAAATAACAGAATCACCTGTCCTTTCCTATTCCTTTTATGGATGGATATGGTCTTCTGCCTAGAATCAGATTTTTTTTCTCCCTTATAATTGATTTAATCCAGACAAAACAAAGCTCAGTGGAGTGGAAAAAGCATATTCTATGTATAAGTTATTCATGTGGAAACCATGAATAATACTGACTTCGCAGCATGGGTGCATCCTGGGCCAGAAGTACAGAAATTTAGTCTCTCTTTAAGAAAGTAGTATAAAATTACTAATACAAAAAAAGCCCACAGAAGTCACTATTTAAAGTGAGTAAAGATATTACAGAAAATTATTCACTTAAATAAGGATCCAATACTTAATCAGAAAACCCTGGAAAATATCGATTCTGCGAAGTACTTCTGTAATACTGTTATTTTTTGGGCTGCCATCTCTGAGTCCTTCATATGAGAATTTTATAATTTAATTTTCCACAGAAAGAATAAGTTTTTTTCTAGAATATTAGATTAAAATAGTTTGGGTTTTTTTAAATTATCAATAGCTTGCAGATGTTCGAGGGTCACATATTTTATTGGTAAGTATTTTTAAGTTTTTAGGTCATTAATTTAGGGAAAGCTCTGCTATACTCTCACATGCTCACTATAAATGTGTGAGAATTTGCCACAGACTGAATCTGTGTGTTTTATCCCTCCACTCCCCATAAGCCTATCAGGTTCTGGGCCCCAAACAACACACACCATGGTACAAACTCTGTCCTCATGCCTTAGTTGTCGTAACACCGCGGGTGACAGGGTTATTCTAGAAAACCACTTCTATACTAGGATTCCTGCCATTCATTATGCCTAAGTATTAACTGCAAGTCATATAATTACACCCCACTAGGTAAATATACTCAACAGACCCCCATAAATAAATCGTATCTCTTCCTTGTGGCTCTTTCCACACCTCCCAACACAGGAGAGAAAGTGCCCAGGAGAGGCTGGAGTGGCGAGGGGCTCTGCGCTCATCCTGGTGAGGGACTCTTACTCGGGCAAATTGTACCTGTTGTGATGAAGTGGTCATAGTTCCAGGGGCTCTCGCGGGGTTTCAGGTGGAGCCCCTGAAGGGAGAAGGATCCAGAAGCTAAGCTTTGTTAGTGTCACAGTAAATAGTCCCCTGTGCGCTGGTAATTGCGAAATAAAGGGGTTCGCCCAGGGCCTCACACTGAGGGAACGGTCTCCAGAGCCCTGAGTCTCCCACGGTTGCCATCACCAGAGCACACGTTCCTTTCTAAGTCGGGGCTAAGGACACACGTGCTCCCTACCTCACAGAACTTCTATAAAGATTTAATTATACAAATGGCATGATCACAGCCGCCCAGATCAGCAAAGGGCCGCACATAAGATACAAGCTCCAGGACTGAGTCACAAAGGACACAAACCTGGAGTGGCAGCAGCCGCTACATAAATAACCGGGAATCCCAAGCACATAAGACACAGCTTCCCAGGCCCCTTTCGCTGGGATATGCTCTGCTGCGCAGAAGGATGGGTCCATGGGCTTCAGGGTCTCTCACACGGAATACTCGTATCTCTGTAGTGGCGATGATGTAACTAATGATTCCCCAGTGCAGCTGAAGCCCAAAGATCCAGAGATTGCAACATTTCTTACAATGTAATCTTTCAGAAACATATCCCGCAGGTTCAGTAATCAGTACATAGCAACCCCTGCAGGAGCCTCATTTATTTTCTATCCAGTAAATCCATCACTCAGTATTTAGGAGATTGGTCAGAGTCCAAACACAGGGAGGAAAGATATAACTTAAAATAATTTCAGAAACGCTTCATGTTACCACAACTAGGACTTATTTTATAATAACCCTATAATGGCATTTCTACCTCTAACACTATATACTTAGTTATATATATTTTTTAAATATGTTTTTATTGACTTCAGAGAGGGGGAGGGAGAGGGGGAGGGAGAGACAGAAACATCAATGATGAGAATCACTGATCGGCTGCCTCCTGCACGCCCCCGACTGGGGATCGAGCCTGCAACCTGGGCCTGTGCCCTGACCGGGAATCGAACAGTGACCTCCTGGATCCTAGGTCGACACTCAACCGCTGAGCCATGCCGGCTGGGCCCTCTGACACTATTTACATAAAGTTACACAAATACACCGATTCCTATTTTTAAATGGCCTCTATATATCTATAAAGAAAGAAGTGGGTCTTTGTTCCTCAATGGAAATTGTGTTTGTCAAAACTGAAAAGCAAATTCTATGTCCCAGAGCTTATTCCAGTGACAACTGAGAGCATAAAGTGAGCTCGTGTGTTTACTGGTTTAATTCACCATCTCACTGCGGTGCCTGGTGTAAATAAAATCTTGGCCAGCTATTTTGGGGGGCTCACTGAGAGAAATGATGATTTGTGGGGTCCAAAGAAACTGTCACCTGACATGACGCACACTCTGTGGTCAACCCTGTAGGGGGTGGCCAAGCTGAGGCTTAAATGAGACAAAGTCCTCTAAGACCGACAGTGACTGGCAGGTCCTCAGGTCCATGTGGCGGGAGGGTCTGTGTAAGGATCCCTCTGTAACACAGGCTTTGGGGTGCCATCTGTTCCAAGAAAAGGAAGTTGCTGAGTAGGAATGATCACAGCTACCACTGTGTAAGGTAAAATGTATTTTTAAAACCCTGAGTTGTATTTCTATGTAACTAAAATGTCTTAGCTGTATAGAAAGAAACATAATTCACACCTGAGGGAACATTCTTAACTAGTTATGTCTGCAGAGCTATAGAGATTTTTTCCATCATGACTGAGAGAAATAAAGGTGAAACAAGAAAACGCTAATGGCAAAAACAAAACCTAAATGTATTAACTATTTAACTCAAAGTCAGAAAGTGACATGTCTAGGTAAGCATATTTTTTATTTTAGATTTTTGGTGAGATAGTTAAATGTCTTATTGGAATCTTTTCTCGATGTGGGGGAAACTTTCCCACCTTTGCCCCCCAACCCACCCAGGGAAGAAAAGGGGGGAAGGGGGGCTGTGGAGAGCCATGCAAGGGGCAGGGTGGGGCAGAATTTTCAAGTAAATATTTTCTAAAGATAGAGCCAAGTGGTTTCGAATACATTAACCAAAAAAAAAAGCAGATAATAATATCGATAACAATGATCATAAGTAACGAATTTCGTGATTGGCAAAGCACAGGGAGCGAGGTGAGCTAAGGCAGGGGTTCTGGCGGCGATTAGGAGCCCGGAAAGCACCTGTGAGTAAATGGCCTTTAGCATGAAGCCCAAGAATGTGTAGAGATTTTCCATCTCAACAGCAGGAGAGCAAGTACATTCGGTGGAGGAAAGATAGTGATTATACCATAAAAAATCTCGAACTGAAAGCACTGCTCAGCCCTCTTCCATCGGACAGCAGTGAGCAAGGTCTTCTCCTCATCTTTCCCCTCTTCCCACGCCTGCCCGCCCTCTGGCCAGTTCTGAAATCTCTGTGAAACAGGCTCGTGCAGCTCTCGCCACCCGGGCCCGATGCCTTGGAAACAGCGTAAAGTGTGAGCCAGGCCTCAGACACCCGGGTCCAAGCCCCCAAAGGGAAAATCCCAGCAGAGCTTGAGATAACAGGATCAAGCATCACCGAGAGTGGCACTTGAAGCCCAAATATCAAGGAAAGGGAGTCAAATCTCATGGAGAAAGGTCAGAGACGAAGCAAGGAGCTGGAAGAGAGCATATTATGGGATGGTTTAGACTCATTTACCCAGAACAATGAAGGGAGACAAAAACCCAGAAAGATCCCATCCAAGTAAAAGTCTCTGTACGAGGCCACAGACTGTGTGGCGTGAACAACTGCCATCTATGTTCTCAGTTCTGGGTGCAGGGTGTCTGAGAACAGGCCGCCACCAGGGTGGGTTTCCGGCGATGGCCCTCTTCCTAGCCTGCTCACAGGGCCCTCGCCCGGTGGCGAGAGGGCGGGGAAGGGGCGAGGGAGCAAAGGGAGAAAGCTCTCCGGTGCCTTCTCTTACAAGGGCACTGATCGCATCCTGAGGGCTCCGCCCTCGTGACCTCAAGACCTAATAAGTGACGCGGAGGACAGCCACAGAAAGAGATGCATAGGGGAGGGCTCAGACGCGTCCTGGGCTCGGAGCGTCTGTCCCTGCAGAGTGGGACCCACTACCCTCCACGCACGGGATGTGCTCACCAATCCAGAAGCGGTCAGCGAATCTTACTTAAAATCGATAACACTCAAAACTATGTAACAAAAATATAAAGGATGTACAGAGCAGACCTCACATTTATTCAGAGGAAGGGTCAAATAAATGTGTCGTGTTCCAGTTCCAGAAACAATGCAGTGAACAGAGCCCCGGGTATGACAAAGTGAGCAGGAAAGGAGACACATGTTTGCTTTATGACTCTATAATCTTCTGCATTGAAAGTAATTACAATAAATTAATAACATTTAAAACGTAAACATACTGAAACAATAAGGCAAGGGGAAGATACGTGGGCTGCTGCGATTCCACCATTCTGACCAGGGGGCTTGGACACCCTCGCGTCGTAGGTAAAGCTGTA